AACCTTTTTGTATTTGCCAAGGAATGTAACATGTGACTCTATGATTTTCACATGATAGTATTGATTCTATCTGTCGTAGGAATACGAAAGAAATACAAACGAACGAAACAAAGAAAGAAAGTCAACATGTGCGCGCATATAATGTATACACCATTATATGCTTACATTTCGAATTGTTTTTATTCTAGGCCTTTGAAAGATGATTGCTTTGTTGTTTATTTTTTTCGCTGTCTTATTGTTAATATACGTAAAATTCAAATATTTTACACTTCATGGTCCAATACCTGGTGTATCGCCACATTTCTTTTTTGGGAATCTGATCCAATCAGGTTTATTATTTCGTAAAAAAACATCATCTAAAGTCTACATATTATTCAAGGAACGTTTCGGTGATATATATCAATATTGGCTTGGTTTTACTCGTTTCATTGTCATACATAATATTGATGATGTTAAATATATTTTCACCCATCGAAATATATACGATCAAGGAGAGCTATTTTTAGAAAAATTCAGTGTTCTGGTTCCCGATAGTATCATTTGTAATACAGGTATGATTATTTTTTCCAGTTGTAATAAAGATTTTTTCATTATGATTTATAGGTGCCAAATTCAAGCGACATGGTGCGCTGACAATGCCATTATTTCGTCGTAGCAAGATTATTTCGAATATAAGTATAATTATCGAGGGCACTGATAAATTATTAGAGAGATGGCGTGCTAGACCATCTGGACAGGTACATACGGATATTATTGAACAGTGTCAAAATCTTTTACTTGAAATCTTTGGACTTATTGCTTTTGATTACGATTTGGAGACACTTGATAAAAATGATTCAGGAAATAAGAATGAACTGACTAAAGCGCTACGAGATATCATGAGTACATTTAGAATGACTGTATATGCGCCTAGAATTATTTCAATTATCTATCTGAAATGGAGTTCTCGATATCAACAAGCACAGGCTACAGTCGAACGATATCTGAATAAGATGATCGAACAAGAAATGGTTGAAAGCCCGGATTCCATAGCACAAAGAAAGAAAACATCATTGATCGCATCATTGGTTAGTTCATTACAAACAGATGAGAGAGCCGAAGCAAGAAAAAAGGAAGAAGATAAAAAAGGTAAAGTTTATCGATGAAACTCTTTGATTAGACGATCGTTTCCAATAATTCATCATTCACTTTTGTATCGAATTTTTGTCCCTACGATCATACGCCGTAAACAACGCGACCCTTTTGACAATTAAGGTGAGTTGAGGAATGGTACACACTCTACACTTATCATATCTGGTAGATCACGTCCACTAACGTATACCTTGAAAGGTTTAAGATTTGTTGATTTTTGACATTAGACAAATTTCGCTTTCTTGGAATTCTAGCAAGATGATCGCTAGTGTCCATCCGTTTGGAAAAACAGGTGCTTCTTCGTCACAATATAATACAATTTATTGCAGTACAAAATAGAGTGTATTCTTTCGGATTGCTGATCGAACTGAAAATTTCAGGGTAGACCACTAGATGGATTACTAGTCCGATAGCGCAAAATAAAAAAAATAATTCGACACAGCTTCAACGACAAATAGTCAACTTTGGTGAATATGTTTTTGAATTAAACCAGTGCTATAGGTTATCTTGATTGTTTTATTCTTTTTCTTCTAAGATTCTGCTATTAACAGGTTTATCACGAAAAGAACTTTTTGATGAGATGCTAATGTTTATGATTGCTGGTTATGAAACGACATCTACGGCTCTTGCTTGGTCTATTTATCAGCTAAGTAAACATCCACCCGTTCAACAAAATATCAAGACAGAGTTGATGCAATATCACAGTAGTCAATACTTATCATTGGATCATCTCGACTCACTCATTTATTTGGATTGCTTTATTAATGAAGTACTTCGTTATTCTCCAACGATTGACGGAACATATCGTTCACTGCTTGTTGACGACTACTTGCCCAATAGTGGTACTCGACTCTATAAAGGTAATCAAGTACTTATTCCGACATCTGCTCTTGGTCAAGACCCTCGTCATTGGAAAATCGATCCTAAATTGTTCTATTCAGAAAGATTTCTTAACGAAGATAAAGATCATCATCCATATGCATTGCTACCATTCGGAGGTGGCCATCGTCAATGTTTTGGACAAGATTTGGCTAGATTGGAACTCAAAGTAATTCTAGCTCGTATGTTGCAGCAAGTAACATTTGGTGATGGTGGTCCTGAAGCTAATGCAGGCGGATATATTCAAGCAGTGACTATCATGCCCAAACATGTTGGGGTCACCATTGACTTCAACTGATATATGAAAATCAATATTCTCCTTTATCATTCCTACTTCTTAATTATCTAAATAAATAGAAATGTTATGTGATACATTGGTAAAGAATAGTGTGCTGATGACAAATTTTAGTGCTTGAAAAAGCATGAAATAGGATGATGAATGAATAGGAACATTGTTGACATTCAGTATTTGCAGCAATGTTCAGATCTAGTGAGAAAGACAATCTTTGAGATTACCAACACAGGAGTAGGTAATTCCTAGGAAAGAAATTTCAAGCAAATTACAGATATTTCTTCAGCATCGAAGTTTATAAATGAGGATGTGCGTTTGGATGTTAGTATCATAATAGATGGAGAGAAGATCTACCTCTATATCTACTCTCACAACCTCAAGTATAGATAGAATACAGACTATTAAAACTGAGAGATGTTTACTAGATGTTTAAAAAAAAGTATTTCCAGAGAATCGTGAGCAGTTTTGAAAAAAGTAATTGAATACTGAGAAGTGAACTAAAATAACAATTAAGACTTCTGAAATAATAGGTTACAGTCATTTTCCTGAAGTTGAGATCGACCTAATTCTTTAAAAACAGTCTATGAGGAAGAATGCATTATACAACCGTAATCTACTCATTGGGTTCGACAAACTGTTATAAACCTGATCAAAAATAGAAATCCACACTTAGTTTAGCAAAAGATAATATTGAAAGTATGGTATAAATTGGAGTACTTTTCTTGTAAGCTCTTACAAAAAATAAGTTCACAATTAATAAGACTGTAAAATTTTTGAAAATTTCCCAGCATTTTTTATGGATCTTTCTAAATAACTATGATCATATATGATAACATTGAGGATGAATAAATCATTCGTATATTGATTGAGTGATATTATATTCAAAGCTTTTATTTGAAATCTTGAATAGAGCAAGTCTAAAGATGATTTTGACAATTTTCCAAAAATGCCACATGAAAAATAATGCTCTTAATTTAATCTAAAAGAATGTCTTCAAAACAACGCCAGTTGATTGTTTTTATTTATGACAAAAAAAATCAAATGATGATAGTTCTCGTTCATATAATAAATCAATTTTTGGTTTTTTTGAACAACACAAATGATTGAATCATGAAAGTTAAGATTTAATAACGAAACTACCTAGCACTACATATGTAAATCATTTCGATGTTGACGTAAATAAAACATGGTCGATGAAGACGATGAATAATATTTATAGATATCTCAATAGTAATAATTATCATAAAAATTTATCGTTTAATAATTTCAATTAGTGTTGATATTGAGATGAATGAAACTATTTCAATACCTAAATAACTAATTGGTTTCACTAAAAGAAAATAAAACCAATTGAATTAGCTGTTAAAAGTAAAATCGATGTTAAAAATACATTGCATACTCTACTTGTTAAATGATTAATTGAAATATAAAACATAATAGCTTTTGATGATAAAATAGTTTCAAATCTCTCTTTACGGCAACATTTATAGTAACCATGCGCACTGATGGGGTGACAAGTATGTATCGTGTTATGTACTCATTGATTGTACTAGGAGCGCACCAAAGATGAAGATTAGTGATAATTTGACATACGCTCAGATCACAGATGAGAAATACGTTGACTGTCACAAGGCAAGAAGGAAGCTCGTTGAATACATTCGTATTTTCCATATCAACTTAAGATTCTTCGATAGCTGAAAAGACATTTTTTCTGACTCTGCTCACTGATATGAGTGACACCAACAGCTGCGTATTTTTTCACCTTATGAACGTACGATTATTAATTTATTCAATGAGTGTTCTGGCTCCAGTTATGAGAGAAAAACCTGTATGCATACATAGTCAGTGCGAGGAGTGATACTAAAACTGGGCAACTGGTACTTGAACCTATTAATTTTCAAAATTGTTTCTATTTTCTCAGGCTACTTCTAAAGAAGTCATAAGATTTTCACTAACTAAAACATACTTGCTCGATATATTCACATAATTGACTCTACCTCGAAAAACTTTTCTTTATGATAGTAGGAAAACCCATATTTTTTCACTTTGATTTACATTGATTGTTTGACTATTCCCAGCGATATTGATCTCATAACGAGAGACGTAGGAAAGTATTCATAGGCATTGATCAATATGTTTGTAAGGAAAGAGGCTCGATGTCGATTGACTATGCGCTTGAGACGATGTCTGTAGTCGACTTAATCTAAAAAAACTTTTTCGAAAGTGATCCCGATCAACTATAACCTTTAAACTATGTATTGCTACACTTCAACTGTATTCTTCGATAAAGAACTATTACTTGCTTTTGCATATTTAACTCAATTTTTTGTCTAATGTCCTGTAAAAGAGCTTTTCTCTGTTTTAATTCCTTAGAGGCTTTATTGATTGAAAGCAGTTTACTTGAACATATGCAGTAATACTGACGTTTCTTGACAACTGTAGGACAATCCAAACATAACTGATCAAATGCAAATAAAGGTCGAAATCGAGGCATCGAATTGCATAGGTATTCGTAAGAATGGCTCATCAACCCACATCTCAAGTCCATCCATATATAATGGAATTAATGCAAGAGTAAAAGTAGTTAAGAAGAGAGCAAGCAAGAGAACAGAAAAATTGAAAAGATTGTAATAATGTGTTCGCTTTATACTTTTTATGATGACAGTAAAAAGAACGAGAGAAGCAAATGATATTGACTTACTTGAAAGCAGCTGCAAAGAGCGCAATATGAAAAGGTTGCCCCATACTCAGAACGATTTATTGTCCTATTATACACTGTGACTTGGATCGTAAAAAAGATAAGCACAAAATTACTCAACAAAGCAATAGCGTTTGATTTTTATGATTGTCGAGCTTTTACAATCTTTTTTTACTTCAATGCTATACAATAAGTTCTACAATTTGAGAAGTCATTACTGATTTCAGCTCCTCGTTATAAATCAATCATAAGTACATACAACCACAAGAAAAAGAAGCAGTAATTTTACTTAACAGTACAAATTCATCAGTCATAATTTTTTGACCCCATTGCTCTTCTAACCAACCAACTAATCGTTTGAATAGAATTCGAATGTTTCCTTCATACTAAACCTAGGATAGGATTACATCAGGATGATAATGAATTTATTTCCAGATATTCTTGATCAACCTTATCTGACATTCTGCAAGTTACCCGAGATTTCATTACCTTTCGTCAATATCATACTGAATCATCATAGAAGCTATGAGAGTACTGCGTGTTTTCGTGACAATTCTATTATGTACACTTCTCTTGTTCATTTCACTTCATTTGCTAAAAAGTATTTTCGCATTTTCCTGGCTTCAAAGCATTCACTTGAACTACCAACTTTCTGCCTGGTTTCAACGTTGGAGACCAACTCCGAATTGCACCCAAGATGAAAGACAACGACAAGAACATATTTTTCAGCAACAGCTTCGTCGATCGCGTAGGTGGTCCGCCTGCTATTCCGATCAGTACCTCTTACAACTGTATGAAGCCGATCTTCATATGTCGAATGACGATGGTAGAATCTTATTATTCGATGTGGGCGCCAATAAGGGATACGTCATCGCGACGTGGATGTCACTGTGGATGCCTGAGCTCGGTATTGATCCTCAAAGACTGTACAATTTTCTTCGTACGAGATTGAAACTGAACGATTGTGGAGCATGTAGCGATTGTAAAGAGACCGGATTCATAAACGCAAATATCACAAGACGTGTCAAGAAAACCATCGAAATCTATGCTTTCGAACCGCAGCCGAGTACCTATCATGCCTTGCGTGAAGTGCAACGATGGACTAATCTATCCTCTTTTCATGTGTTTAATCTAGGATTTAGCAACCACACAGGTGTTGCTCTGCAGAATGCGTGTGGTGCAGGAGCTGAATCGTGTCGACTCGCTACGAATACCAATATTAAAAACAGAAATGGCTATGTTGAAGTGAACATTACCACGCTGGATTATTTTACTCGGCTGCATAAAATCCATCGTCGCATTGATGTATTGAAGATCGATACCGAAGGATTCGATCCATTGGTGCTTCAAGGCGCCGATCGACTCTTGAATGAACATCAAGTGCGACTATTAATTTTCGAATATCATAGTGTTGGTATGTGGTCAACAACGACTCTCGAGAAAGTGGTGCAGAATCTCAACCAAAAACGTTACACATGTTACCAACTAGGTCGAACTGGAATCTTACGGTTGAGTGGTTGTTGGTCCCCGATATTCGAAAAAAAATCATGGAGCAATGTTCTCTGTGTATTACGAAGTGAGCGCATACTGATTCAATCTATCGAGAAGCTTTTAGTGCGAAATGCTTGAAGGGGAGACAATCAGAGCTCACGTTGATACTATGGGAAGTAGACTCGTGGTTCTCTTGGCTTTATGTCGCCAAGAAAATATTGATTTTTTTATTATTTTACTTCTGCTCATGTATCTGAAATTGTAGGTAACAATTTGAAACAGAATAAATTTGAGCTAACAACAACATGAATAAGAATACTCTTTGGTTTTAGAACGTTCCAATAAACTGTCTATCATAATCAAGCAAATAATATCGCTGCACAAAAAATT